AAAAAAAAAAAAGAGAGAAGAAAAAAAAAGAAATATTAATGTTTCAACTCCGATTTTATTAGTTGATCATCTTTTCCTAAATGATGATAAGTGAAGTGAAACTGTAAGAGGGTTGAATAAGTTTTATCACATATTCATATTTGATTTGACATGATTAATGTTCTGGTTAGAGATTAGTTAAGAAACATGACGGATATGGGAGATACTTTGAATAATTAATATAGGATAGGTCATCTCATAAAGTCTGAACAATTGCTTCTTGTTGCTGAGCAGAGGTCATTGAAATCAGGGAAATTTGTAAATAGAACTGTGTAGTTTGGTGCTACAGAATGCTGTTTGGGACTGATTTCCAATATGCATTTTTAGATCTCCTCTTCAACTGCTTATCGTAACACTGTTACATTTTTAGCCATGTCAGTCTAACTTCTTCAGGAAGTTCTAGCTCAGTTCTCAGATTTAAATGCTGACTATGGTAATTAATGCAATTAATGAATTAAGTAAAGACCAGTGTTCCAGAAGGCGTTGGGCCACTGCCTAGTGCCAAGGCTGTGCTTAGGCAGGGCATAAGACTTAAGTGCTGCTAAGTGCTCCAGACATTTTTATTTTTCTGCAAAAAATGCCAAAATAGAACAGAAAATCTAAAAAGTAGAAAAAATTCCTAGCTCCACTGCCTAGGGCCTAGACAAGTTGGTGGAATGCCGCCTAGCACTTAGGCACTGCCTAGGCGAGCTTTTTTGCAACACTGCTAAAACTTCGTTATGGTTACTTTCTTTCTCTTCTCTTCGTACTGGTGTATGCATCTAACTTGTTTAGTTCTTCACTAGATTTTGCCCTTTTTTCTCTTGTATGTTGTTGTTCTTTTTCAGTTTTTGAGCAGTAACAGTGATTCATTTGATTTTAATGGTCTGTTGATTTCAGGCTATGGAATACCTGGTAAGATGTAGGGAACAAAGGGGTGAAAGCACAACAAGAGAGTTCCTTGGTTTTTTATCAGAGTTTCAAAAGGCTTCTAGGTATTTTGCTTCCCCTTGGCAACTCAATCCCATTGAACTATATCTGGACAAGTTAAAGTGGCCATTTGATCTTTTCTAATGCTGAATCCCATTGTACCATTTTAACTAGTGTGATTTTCACTATTCTACTTGATTCAAACAAAACTTGACACACACACCCCAAAACATCTCTAGTACTATATTTGCATGCGGACTGTCAAATCATCTAAGTTGTTTTTCTCTTAATTGAGTCTTAGTTGGTTCGACTTGTATTTCCTTATAAATAATCTTATTTATTATTCTTTCTGTTCTTAAATGACTAAACAACTATCTATTTAAGCTACATTTATCTTATTAACATAAATGTTGCCTTTCAATTTTCCTACACCTGGTACCATGAAGATTTCTGGCTTTCCATTCAACAAAATTGCCTTTTCAACTTGATGCATATTTTGCAGTCAAATAGTTCTCATGGAACTTATATCCCACGCAATTTCCTACGGTCCAGGTTGAATATCCTATTTATGTTCTCAGTTTGTATGATTAATTGAGTCTAATTACTGAACACTCTATATTAAGAAATTCCTCATCATCAGTTTTGACTTCTTGATGTCTTATTACTGAGAAGCTTAACTGAATTTGTGCGTCAATGAAAATTTATTTAGTTTTGGTCCCACTTGGCCTAAAATTTTGTAATGTGTTTATTTTTTAGTTCTAGTGTAGAATTCACGTACCAAAAAGATAAAGAGCTCAGCTGAGTTGGAACCCACTAATTATGGAGTTGTAGTTTATGGGGTTAAGGTCAGGGGGTTCATATGTTGAGAGCATTTTGGCTTGTCTTGTCTTCTTAAGAAGTCCATTAAACGACCAGAGGTAAAGATAAATTCAGCTTTTGGAAATTTGTTATGCAGGAATTTTGCGAAAAGGCAACTTACATGGTTTTGTAATGAGGAAATCTATCACTGGCTCAATGCTTCTAGACCCCTGGTATGTCACGTGGTTTGTTCCATTGCATTGTGTTAATGACAAAAGTCCTACGTTGTGTGTGCTAGCAATAGTGCTGACTAGATAGACAGCCCATATTTCCACTTGGATGCACATGAATTGTTTTCTAGGATGCGTGATTGTGATGGCTGAAAAAGCAGGTGCATCTGTTGTCAGAGGGGGGAAGAACAGCACATATATATCTTATCAGTTTCCAATCTTGAGGCAATAGCACATAAATGTTATATGTGTTATCAGTTTCCAATCTTTTTTATTTTTTCTCCAATTCATTCATGAAGCAAATTGATGTTCCACAGTATGCTATCATACGCTGTTTCCTGTGTGAGTTTTGTATACTATCATGCAGGAGGGTAACCAAATGCTAAATTGAATTGGTTTAGGTTTTTTTATTTGTTTTCCATAAAAGTTTTGAGGGATTGCACGAAACATCTTTTGATATCATTTTGCTAATATCTCTAGAGGATGAAACTTTTGTAGGAGGAGGTTCTTAACTTCATTTGTGATGCATACGATGGTAAGACTGGAACTTTGTCTGTTCACTTCAAATGAAGAAAGACATATCAAACCGCCATGAAGTTTCCAAAGTGAAGGCATACCGTCCTAAAAAGAGGTATGCTCATAAATTACTAATCATTGCATGTACTCGTAATTTGTAGCCAAATGTGTATCTATAAGCACACCTCTCCACCTGTGCAATTCGTGCTATAAGCTAAAGGGAATGTTTGAATGAAGGCATTTTATATACCATGAAGACTGTTCTGATATTCTGGACTGGATAAGGCAAACTCAAGCGTCAAGAAATGGACTGGTTTCAATTTGACTTGGCTTCTCTCCTTGAACATCCGAAAGTGTATATCAGCAGAGATAGGTATGCCTTGTGAGACCATAGATTTGTTATGGATGTATTGAGTTTTCCTTGAACCTTGTGTCTATGCTTTCTCAATATTTTCCTGCAGTGAAGCCTCAGTTGTGCATTGTTTGAGAAGTCATCTTTGAGAACCAGAGAGAATGTTGATTTTGTACACAGAAACACAGGAATTTTGAAGGTGGCGGGAATGGATGCATTTCTATGTATTTTCTTTATTTTGTGTAATAAAAACTTTATAGTCCTCTATTACTCTCTCTGTTTTTTTAATTTATTTATTTTCCTTATTTTGGTATAATAGGAGAGTGGAGAAGCTACTCCTATTAGAGCCAGTTTCGATCCGACCTCTGGGTTATGAACCCACCACGCTTTCGATTCGGCACTTTGATGATTGTTACCTTTAATTTAATCTTTCAGTTTAATCCTTGGAAAATAAAGAAGGAATTAATTAGAAATTAGTGAGAGAAAATAAGATAATACAAAAATATAATATATTTTTATTTCATTTTTCTCAATTTGTTCTCCATTTATTCACTATAAATTTGTAAAAGTACAAACCCTAGAGGCAAATAGGTGATAGGAGTTTGAAGAAATAAATATCTATTACATAAGAGGTTATAAAGATTAATATTTTATTAAAAGAAGGGTTATAAGAAATTTTATTATCATCATCCAAATGCATAATATTATTGGGATGTCAATTAGCATTGTAATTATATAAAAGTAATAGAAGTTATATTATTATTTGATACGTAAATACCATGAAAAATGA